GTTGTCAACATTCAGTTGCACACAATAGGTTTGATTGTTGCACTTTACCATAGATAAATAAAACTGGTCTCAATACCTGGTTAAGATTCATTCAATCCCATCGTTTATGCATCACAACCAGGAAAAACGTATGAAATCCCTAAAAAGAACATATAATAACAAAAGATATTAGTACTAATTACGATGTAAGTATTACAATATCTCGATAGGTTGATATTTGAACCTACGACACTCGATTCATATAATAACATATATTTTGTTCGGTTTATAGTTGGTGATTGATGTACCTGAATTCGTCGATGATATGGTATGGCGTCTCAATCGGAAATCTCGGACTCGCGATTTAAAAGTTGATTTAAAATACTAATGTAATATGGAAAAGCTCGAACTCGAAATTGATATGATTTACAGCTTCATGTAATTCCTTGAAACCTTGTCCTTGATATGGTTTAATTGATTCGTCACAAGGTGGTATCCAATGTTTTGTTCCACTCGGTGTGACTAAAAGTTGATAATATGTAATTGGTGGATGCATGCCTTAAGTGACATTGGAAGAAAAAAAATTATTAATACTAAACTAAACCCACTGTTTGCACTATTATGAACATATGATTGCACACATTAGACATGCATGTTGCACTTAATTACGGAAAATATAAAACTGAACTCAATACCTGGTTGAGATTCATTCAAATACATTGTTTATGCGGCCCAAACAAGAAAACATATAAAATCCCTAACGAACACAAAGTATATCAGATCAGTTTTTCACTAATTACTGTGCAATAATTGGCCAACTGAGCATACAACACCCGATTCATACAATATTGGGCTAATTCTTCAGTTTATATGTCGTGATCTATATACCTGAGTTATCGAGTGTGTAATATGGCTGCTCAACCAGAATTTTTGAACTAGAGAATGGGAAATTGGTCGGGAATCTCCTGTAATATGGAAAAATCGAGCTCGGACTAGTGGATTGACGATCGTGAATCTCCTGTAATATGAAATATCCCATTAATTTCATGTTTATTGCTCACGAAAATCACCAGCTGCGGGAGATTTGCACAAGATTGGGTTTTTGAATATGAGGCATGGGCTTAGTTGAGGGTTTTAGCTGAGAGAGAATTCAATTAATTCGATTGATATGGGGTAAGCAGCATATTTACATTATTACCCTCCAATTGATGGGGTGAGTAAATTGCAGTGCGCCCGTGGTGGCCACCAGATTGCTTTGATCCTGCGTTTCTACTTCATTCTTATTTCTTTCGGTAAGAGTCATTCTCACCGGAACCCAACCCTATATATATATATATATATATATTTATATATATATATGATATATTTTACTATAAATAAGTGGGAGCAAATTTCTATTTTCACTTAATTTAATAGTAAATTTTGTTTTATTATGCTTAAAATTGACATTTTTATGTAGAATTAATTTGCATAAATAAATAGTTTTATATAATTTTCAAAATCAAATTAATAAATAAAAACTCATTTAAATAAAAATAGGCAATAATAAAAAAATAGTTTAGATTGGTTTTTTCTAATTCGTATTATTTTATAAAGTTTGTAAGGTTATATATAAATTATCACATTATAGTAATATTTAAAGTTTAGACGGATTAGCATATTGTAAGCATACTCACCATTTTTTTTTTCTTATTTTGATAAATTGGATTATGTCTTCTGGTTTGCTTTATTTAATTAAAATAATATTATTTCTAATTATTCTTTAATTTAGATAATATTCAAATAATTGTCAATATTTTTAATGTAATGACGGTAAAAAAAATTAGAAAATAAAATAAATACCACCCAATTAGCAATTATATCGTTTACTTTTCCACCCCAAATTGAAATCTATCAACGCCTTTACTTTTCAACCAGATATTTATTTTTATAAAATTATTTTTAATATTTATTTCTCGCATCATATTCATAGTAAATTAATTTTATTATGTCATTTCGGCTTTGAGTGAATGAGAGAGCTAATTCGACTTTCAAGTCAAAAAATATGAAATTACCAATTTTTTTTTTTAAACCACTGTTTCTATTGGGTTTCATCTCTAGCCTACCCCAACTTGTTTGGGACTAAAAGGCTTTGTTGTTGTTGTTGTTGTTGTTGTTGTTGTTGTTGTTGTTGTTGATTGTTCTCAAAAGTTGCTAACGCCTTGCACGTGAGCCCTGTTAGTTTTAAATTTCAGTTAAATAATTTCTTCTAAAAGTAAGCCAAACTATTTAATTTAAAATGTCAATTTTTCCACTTTCGAATTAAACATCAAAATAATCTGACTTCTCTTCTTAACGAACTTAAAGAACTCATTTTTTTATTTTATTTAAAAAAAATGTAAAATTTGTCCCAAAAATTGCAAAATTGGTTCAATCTAACCTCTTCACGTGAGCCCCGTCAGTCTCGATGGATGTAGGACCATTTTTTCAACGAAACATTTTTGCAAAGAAAAAATAAAAATGATCATGAATGGCATGCATGTGGCCAAATATAAGAAATCGTCAAAGTTATAGGACCAAATTTACAATTTTCTCAAAAAAAAAATTATTTTGAGTGGATATATTTGTATACAAACGCAACCTAATTTTCCAATAATCATTGGGCCAGCCACTACTTCCACCGGACGTTGTAGTTCGAAGTTCAAATTCAAAAGAAGGTCTATCATCATACAGTACAAGTCTCAATTCCCAGAGAACGTAGTTCCATTAGCCATGGCCACCACAACGCTGCTTCATGAGCTTCTTTTTTTCCATCCACCTCATAAATACCCTAGAATTCAACACTATCATCTAAAGTTCACCGAGAAACCCTTCAATCGAGCTCCGCCCAGCAAGAAATTCCCCCTTTGCCGCAGTAAAATCGGCAATTCATCGCATAATCCGTGCCCGGCAGCAGAAGGTACAGCCGAAAGCCATGGCAAAATCACAAGACTGATTCAAGGATTCGACCCCGAAATTCCAATTGAAGAGGCGCGGACCCCACCGAGCTCTTGGTACACCGACCCTGAGTTTTACTCCGTTGAGCTGAATCGAGTTTTTTATAGAGGATGGCAAGCCATCGGTATGCCTTTATCCTAAACGCTTTGTAGTCATCCTTTTGAAAATTCACAATTTTTGTGTATTTATGATGGTGCGTTACACATATTGGTCACCAATGATGGTATTGTTTGAGAATTCAGATGATATCAGTTAACCCCTTTAGTTAGAAGTGATTAATGGTTCATATTAATTGAAGACTGGATAGTTTTTGGTTTTGTATTTGCTGCTAAACTCATGTCTGTGATGATTTTGTACAGGACGATTATTATTCCTATTTGCATTCAACATATGTTTCATTAGTTTTTAGTATATTCTAACTAATTACTAGTGTCACCAATTTGGAACCCTTTGTATACATTCAGCAGATTATCTTGTTTATGTCTTTATGTTCCATGGTGCCTAATTTTTTCCTTTCACTTAGTTTATTTTATTTTTTATTGTAATTGTCAGGGTATAGCGAACAGATTAAAGAACCACGTCAATTCTTTACCGGAAGGTAAATGTGCAGTCATTCTCACTATCTATCACTTCATTCTGTTATAACTCACTTCGTTGTGAACCTCGGAAACAGTAGAACAGTTTTCATTAAAAAAAGACCCGAAAGAAAAAAAAGAAGGGAAAGGAAGCATCAAAGTAAAGGAACCCAGATCTGGTTATGCATACATGTTGGCTAAATTATGCTTATGATGGTATGCTAGAACAAAAATCAATTACATAAGTACGTAACTAAGCTCTGTTTTAAAGGTTGGCTAAGGCTAATGAGTGACTGCATCAGATTGGGATCTATTGAGTACGTGGTTTGTCGGGATGAGGAAGGCACATTACATGCTTTTCACAATGTGTGTCGTCATCATGCATCACTTGTTGCCTCCGGAACTGGGAAAAGATCTTGTTTTGTCTGTCCTTACCATGTGAGTTCTCGAGTGCTTAAAATGTTCTGCTACTGTTTCTGTACAGCTTTTTGGCATCTTTTCTATTTTTATTTTTTTTACTAGATAACATAATTAGAAAAGAACTCTGTGTCCTTTGGGAAAAAGGAAAAAAAAAGTTGTTAATTTTGAAGTTTCATACTGCACATCATATTAGTTGCACTTCATTCAATACATATTCATAGAGTTTGAGAATCAAAACATTGTCTTGGATTTATGATAATTGTTTTTATTTTTCTCCATTAATCTTCTAGGGTTGGACGTATGGGTTGGATGGAGCACTCATGAAGGCAACAAGAATAGAAGGGATCAAGAACTTCAAAGTAAATGTAGGTGGCAGAACATATTGTATTTTCTTATTTCTTTTGTATTTTCTTATTTCTTTTTCTTTTTCCCAACCCAAGGATGATTTTTGGTTCTCATCTAGCTTTATGGGATGCAGGAAATGGGACTCATCCCACTGAAAGTCGCAATCTGGGGGCCATTTGTACTGATCAATTTGGACGAAGTTAGAACGAATGAATATATTGATACAAAGGCCGTGGGCAATGAATGGCTAGGTAGTGCTGCAGGTGTACTGAGCTCAGGCGGGGTTGATACATCATTAGATTATGTTTGCAGACGCATATATACCCTCGATTGCAATTGGAAGGTCTGTTCTCTCTGTTGATTTTGTCCTTGAAAGCAATTAGTGTCATCATTACTTTGTCGAGGAAGAATCATTTTATATTCTCTGTTTTATTTATTCTGTTATTATTTTATATGTATTCCTCTTCTATTTTTCTTTTGTCCTTTTTGGCTTTACCAAACACTGCATCCCTTATATTTCCAACCAATCAATTTTTCATTGGCACTTTGTACTTAATGAAAGGTACATTGTTTGATTAAACCATCTTTTTATACGTTTTTAGGTCTTCTGTGACAATTATTTAGATGGTGGTTATCATGTCCCTTACGCACATAAAGGGCTTGCATCCGGTCTCCAACTTGATTCATACTCAATAGAGGTATTCCAACACAAATCTGGTCATTTACAGATGTTCACTCTTTCTATTTCCTTGTGTCGCCGTCATGTTTTTTCCCTTTATTTTCTCATCTATTATCAAAGATGTACGAAAATGTTAGCATCCAATGGTGTGCTGGCAATAACAAGGATCGGGAAGAAGAATTCAACAGACTTGGACCGAAAGCTTTATATGCGTTTATCTACCCGAATTTCATGATTAATAGGTTAGTTATTTACACGCAAGGTATTGTGGTTTATTTTATGCCTGGTTTTTTTTTTTTGTTTTTTTTGTTTTTTTTTTTCTTTTAAGTCATCCGTCAACAGAGTTCTATCTGAAAATGTTAATTAGGTACGGACCATGGATGGACACGAACCTTGTACTACCACTGGGACCTCAGAAATGCCAAGTTATATTCGATTACTTTCTAGATGCTTCCATTAGGGTAAAATTTGTATTTTTTAACAAAGAGGTTCCCCATTTTCGGTTTCATGAGTAAACTTGTATAAATATACTTTTTATTCATAGGACGATAGTGCTTTCATTGAGAAGAGTTTAGAGGACAGCCATAGAGTACAGGTACTTTCTTAATCTACTTAAAAAAAAAAAAAACAGATTGTGTTCCTTCTATTTGATCAGTGAAATAAATCATGTGTTAATGCAATTATGTAGGAAGAAGACATTTTTTTATGCAAATCAGTACAACAAGGGCTTGAGTCTCCAGCATATGATGTTGGGCGATATAGTCCAACGGTTGAGATGGCTATGCATCATTTTCATTGCCTGCTGCACAAAAATCTCACTTCTTTCCAGAGCACTTGACCAGCTACGATCCAGCAAGAACCGTAGAGATGGTACTTGTTAGATATCAAGAAATGAGCAAAATGTTGTGTTAGTATCCTACCCTACTAACCACATCGTGTTTAAGCAATCAGATCACACCCGCGTAGGTATATATTAGTCCATCAACTGATGAATGAATTGAAGAAATGACGTATGTGAAGTAAATGGATGACATCATGCACTTGTCGTGCAATCTACATCTGTTCGGATTTGGGTATTACCTTAAATTGAGGGTTTATTAGACTCTCTTGAAGAACCTCTGTACATGAGCTCTTTGTCTATTATACAAAGCCAATTTGCTCAATTTTCCTCCAACAAGCTCTCTTGAGAAGTTCTCTGAATAAATGGGCTCGTTATTTTCTATACATCCTCTTTAGATGTAGGGAGAGCCAAAATGGCTCCCTATTACATCCTCTCTACTTACATATATGTATATATATATACTGAGTGCTGGCTAAAAATGGAGGCTGTTAAAGGAAAAGTGAAATAAAGAGCTTGAAGTATGGGGAGGTAAAGTTTGGGAGACAAATTTAGAGTTTAATAGAGATGTTGGAGTTTGTCTTACTGTCCTGTAACTTTTTAAACGCTTGGTTATCTTATATAAGTTTTAAGTATATACTAGTACAATATCCGTATACTACACGGTGTTGAGTTAAAAATTGTATTATAAAAGTTATTGCTACCATCTACATTAAAAACATTTAAAAAAATTAACAACAATTACTAATTTTTATTTTGCTCATTTATATATTTAACCGAGAAACTTATAGCTGCTAAGCCGGAGACCTTAATGTTGAATCCAGGAAAGTGAAATGGTGCGTTGTCCGATAGAAAGAATGCTACAGAAAGAAAGCATGAGTTTAAAAATTATTTATGTCTATACCAAGCTTAATTCTAAAGTAAAAAATTAACATACAAACAACATCAAACAACATTCCGAAGCCTAAATTTTCGTCATATCAGCATCCGAAGCGTGTGAGTCTGCCACATAGGTTCAACACGTTTTGAATTAATATATAGGGAGGAATATGTGCAATTTTTTAGGAATAATATATTAATTATTGAACCATACTATAAAATTATTGATAAAAATATACACGATTATATATTATATATCTAAATAAATAAAAAAAATTATATTACCTAAATTGCTCTGACCAATTCGATCACATATCCAACCAATGAACTATAGAACCGGTAGATTTACCGGTTCGATTTTGAAAACTTGAGGTTAATAATACAACCCATAAACTCTATGGACAGTTGTCAAGAGGGAGGAATAGGAGTCAACCACACTTTTCCACGCGTTGGGGACCAGAGGCAGCAGTTGATTTGGAGACGAAGGGTTCTAATTTCTGAAGTTCTTGTTTGAGGTTGCACGTGGATTTGGGGATGTAGGGATTCTGATTTGTGGCATGGCTTAATTACGCATGGGTTCTGCAACCCAGAAATTCTATGGGCGCCATAAGCCATGCCACAATCTTATATGTCACATGAGGTGGCTTTAATAATTTTAATTGTAATATTCAACATGGCATGCGGTAGCTTTAAACAAGATCTTCCACCCAAAATCAGAACCCTGCGTAATTAAGATTGTTCTTCTATTTATATATGTGATGCTTCCATAAGAATAAAATAACAATTGCCAAAAAATTAAATAAAAATCTTGAGAATCATATTTCTTGAGATGATAAAAAAATAATAATAACAATAATAATAAAAATTAAATAAAATAAAAAAAGGACTTGAAGAAGAGCCGATCAACAATGACAAAAAACATACCTAATTCTAGAATAATTTAAATTGATGATAATCAGAGGGGAATCGAGTAAGAAGAAGAATAACAGAAATGACTACAGTTCCAAAGATAATCCAACGGATCAACCTATAATAAGCTAAAGACAGTAATAACTAAGAAGAAAAAAGATGCGCTCGCTTGAGCATATTTGATTTCCAACTCAGACCCAGAAATTCTCTTGAAATGCTCTTTCAACAATCTCTTGGAATCATACTCTTTGATCTTCTTCCTCGCCATTTTTTTCTAAACCTGATTTTAAAAATGGATATAAGATTGAGCCCAGACCCCTACTCCCAGATTCAAGATTTCTCAAAATCATAATTAAATGGATCACA